GGAGGAGGAGGAGGGGGAGAAAGGAAGAAGAGGAAGAAGAAAAGAAAGAAAGAAGAAGAAAAAGAAAAGAAAGAAAGAGAGAAAGAAAGAAGTGGATGGAGGAGAGATAGTTCACAGGTTAAGTGCACTTGCTGCTCTTAGAGAAGACCTGAGTTCAGTTCCCAGAACTCATATCAGGTGACTGACAACTGCTTGTAATTCCAGGTTTAGGGGATCCAATGTCCCCTTCTAGCTTCTGATGGCACCTGTAATGCACATAATGCAAAACATATATGCAGGACCCACCTGTCATGCAGGTGACACACACACACACAGTCAGTCAGGCCCCCCATGTACATAAAATAGATAAATAAACTTTTACTAGAGTCACAAATGCAAAGGGTGAGTCACCCCTCCTGGGCAGTCAAAGAGTCCGTTACTTGTTTCAGTTTAGGAAATGAGCCTAGTACTGGGAGGAGGGGACACAGATGAAAAAGCACCCATAGTGGGACCCAACCCAATGTGTTGGGTGACACAGTACTCTTCTAACAACACTCCTTATAGCTGGGTTTGAGAATTGGTTCTATCCCTCTCTAGTTTGGAACTTTGGGGCAGTCACTCGTCTGACTCTGAGAGCTCACACTCACAGAGAAATTGGTACCAGGAGTGGGGTTATGCATCAGGGAGAAGGAACAGAGGTCCACTGTACAGCCATTTACATGAAAGAGAAAAAAGAACACAAACTTTCTTATACAGGGTTTACTTTAAGGATGAATTAAAGTTAGGTCTAGTCCCCCAATGTCTTGCTCAACTCCTCTCCTCCTTCCTGAGGGGGTATCCAGTCCCTGCTGATCCCCTAACCTCTAGTCTTTCTCTATTCCCTTTATAAACTAAATATGATCTTACCTCTTGTGCAAACCTCCCCATTGTTTTGACTTCTAAGGCTCCCCAGAGCTTTGGAGACAAACTTCACTGAACACATATAATCTACCTGTCCATCTGTCTGACCTTTTTTATCCCTCCCAACTTCTTCCACTGCCCTCTGTCCGTAATGAACTTAGTCATTTCTCCAGCTGCTCCATGTTCATCTCCCCTCTGGGCCTTTGCCTGTGCCGGCATGTACAGTCACGGTCCTCACTGCCCCTCTGCTCACAGCCTGACTGGCTAAGTCAATCAGCTTTCAACTAAGATGTCCTTTCTTTTAAGCAGCCCCAAGTCCATCTCCTCCTAGGCTACGTAGGCCTCTCGGCTCCACATTTCCTACATCTAGGCTGCCCCGTCACAGCTTTGACCATCCTGTCTGGTGACTTTCCTCTCTTCCCTCTGCCACTCTGTGAACTTCATAAAGGAAGAACTCAGGTTTTGGGGAACTGTCCCCCCAGCATCACCAGTAGGGGAGGAGCAGATACAGAGAAGGCAGCTCACCTGACTGAGGCCCAGGTGCTTGCTGACATTTTCCGACAGGTAAACCATGTCTCCCTCGGCGGTGAGCACCATGACGAACCCCTCGAGGGCCTTCAGGTAGCAGGCGTCCAGTGGCTCTCCCCCTGTTCCCACCTGGTTCCACTCCCCTGGTGCCCAAGCCGGCGGGGAGGAGGATGATGGGGCAGCTGTGGTCAGTCATGGATTCACCCTAGCTAGCTTCCCTCCATCTTCCCTCGCCCATATGAATTCATAGAAATGCTTAGGTGAGTGGGAGAAAATCCTAGGGACTTGAAATCCCAAAGAAGAGGGCCAGGCCACTACGCTTTGGAAACAGGGACACAGACTCCCAGAGGGGAGAGAATCCCCCAAGATTTAAGAGTGAACTGAGGAGTTGAACCTCAATGTGGCTTGGGGTCACTTGGAATTGTGGAGCTGTGAGCGAGTTTTCTGGAGTTCTTGGGGGAGGGGATGGATAGCCTGCCAGATGGGCAGAATTCTAAAATGTCAGGGCCTTCCAGAAGACAGAAGTCCATTACATTTTATTTATTTATTTCTTTTGTGGAGGTCAGAGGACAGCTGACAGAATTATACAAGGGGCAAACTCCCCTTCTTCTACGGGGCAAGGGGATTTAATGAGTAGATCCTCTATAATGTAACATTTTCAAATCTCTAGGCGTCTCTGTGTGTGTGTGTTTGTGTGTGTGTGTGAGAGAGAGAGAGAGAGAGAGAGAGAGAGAGAGAGAGCGAGCATGACACGTGCTTCCTCAGGTGGCTGCTAAGAGAATAAGAAATAGAACTAGAGAAGAGGACAGAGGATGAAGAGAGGCTTTCAAGGAGTTTTGAAAATATGGTTGTGAAGCAAGGGTTGGCAAAGCATGGTGGCTATGTGAAACTGAGGCAGAAGGACCAAAAATTCATGTCTTGTTCAAGGCCCGTTTGAGTAACCTAGTAAGTCCCCGTGTCAAAATAAAATAGTCAAGAGGTTGGGTACGTGGTTCTGCGGTAGGATGCTGCCTAGAATCCCCCAGTGAGGGGGATCTGGGGTTGGGGGGCCGATACTTTGTGGTGGAGTGCTTGGATACCACACTCCTTGGATTTAATATCCAGGATAGCAAAAAAGAAACCAAACACATTAAGTTGGCGATGTGGTGGTGCATTCCTTTAATCCCAGCACTTGAAGGCGGGGTGAATGGGTGGGTAGGAGTAGGTAGGTAGAGCAGGCAGAACTCTGTGAGTTCAAGGTTAGCTTGGTCTGCAGAGCAAGTTCCAGGCCAGTCAGAGCTACACAGTGAGATCTCGTCTCAAGAAAAGGAAACAAAAAATCAAAACCAAAAAAATCAAGAAACAAAAAGAAAATAAACACAAAATTAAGTGGGTAGGAACTTTAGTCTCCCCTAAAGACCAAGCCTAAGACCTCAAGGGGCCTCCTTAGATCCTAAGGGCTGGGGCCTCCCAAGGGTCTATCTGAACCCAGGACTCCGATTGGTCCAGCACTAGAAGGGCGGTTCTTCGCTCAGAGAGCCGATTCTAGGGCTTTCCGGGGGCGGGGCCTCCGCATTGGGCAGAGGCGGGGCGCGGGGCGTTCCGGGCTCACCTGCAGCGCAGAGGCGGTGCATGCGCAGGTAGCTGATGGTGAGGCGCATGATGGAGGCCTTGTCCAGATGCGCGCTGACGCCGCGCGCGAAGGGCAGCGTGTGCGCCAGCTGGTACAGCACCTCCGTCTCCTGGCTGCGCCGGCTGCGCGCAGCATCCCGCGACTTCTCCTTCCGCAGCTCCGTGCTAGACCTGTGGAAAGGAAATTGTACGCGATAGGTCACATATGGGACGCCTCCACTTGGGGTTCCGGCGACATCGCTGGACCCCGGCGGCTTCTCCCCTTGAAGCCCCTCTCCTTATCCCAAATTTTACCTGTCTTGTTCCCAGCCCATGTGGCCCTCCCTGCAGGGCCTTCCTCCAGGCTTCTCCCCCAGGGATGTGTGCCTAAGGCGTTCTGTCCTCTCTAGGATTTATCTGCAGCTCGTTTCCCTGAGCTAGAGACGCGCCGCCTGGGGGACAGGGAGGCCTCCCGGTGGGAGGGGGTGGTAGCGCTGGCCTGAGTCCAAAGGAGAGTTGGAGCACGAAGAGCCCGCAGCCTTCCAGGCTTCCTTCCCTCCGGGTTTCCTCTCCTCTGACAAGCTGAATCTCACAGAGATATCTCAAAGTCTAACGACACACCAAAGGGGCCTTAAGAGGGGCAGGGCCCCACCAAGGGTGACACAGCAAACCAACCCCTATATTCTGCCCAGCACCTCTACCCTTTAATACACTTCAAATGCCTGACTTCCGTGTGTGTGTGTGTGTGTGTGTGTGTGTGTGTGTG